ATTTACGTAGTTTAAACAAAACATTGTGTTTTCATCACAAAAATAAACATATTGTTTCATAAATATTTAAAGGTTTACACCATCATAATATCTTCAATATTAAGCTTTAATTTTAAGCTATTTAAATAAAAAAAAAGAACAGTTAATAAGATCACTCAAAAAATAGAAATCATTATAAAAATCTTAACCCTTCTTTTAGAAAAATTTAAAAAAAATGAAGAATAATTTGATAAATTATAATATAAATTCTGACTACCAAAAAACTCAGACCAACCGTGGTCTACATACTTAAAATAAAATCCCCCCAATAAAAGAGTAGGGTAATTTAAAAAATAAGTAGATAGGAAAGGCATATTTCATATAGAAGATATAAACAAGCTTTTTATAATATTACTTAAAAATAAATTTAAAGAACCAATTGCCAGTTGGCTTAATAAATAGCCAATTCAACCCCCTAAAAGAATAACTATAATAGTTATTAACTTTAACCTTAAAGGAAGACAGATAAAATAAGGGAAAGGAAACAAAATCCATCTTAATATTCTCCCTCCGAAGATTACAAGAAAAATTAAACCAACTATTCCTTTAACTATAACAGCCCCATTATCAGAAATCCTAAAAAATTTTAAGAAATTTAAATTGCCAAAAATAGTATAATAAAGAAGACGAATAGTATACCTAAAAGTTAAGCCTGTTGAAACAAAAAATACCAAATAAATTAAAATATTAGAATAAGATAAAGAAACTACTTCCAAAATTAAATCTTTTGAATAAAATCCTGCTAAAAACGGTATACCACTTAAAGCTAAATTTGAGATATTAAATATGCAGCAAGTTAGGGGCATAAAAGTAGATAAACTCCCTATAAAACGAATATCTTGACAATCTGCTAAGCTATGAATTATACAACCAGCACATATAAATAACAACGCTTTAAATAAAGCATGTGTAAGCAAATGAAAAAATCCTAAAACTGGCTCCCCTAAGGCAATAATTCTTATTATTAACCCTAGTTGACTTAAAGTAGATAGGGCAATAATCTTTTTTAAATCAAACTCAAAATTAGCACCCAACCCAGCTATAAACATAGTAAAACACCCTAAGAACAATAAAATCATTAACAAATTATTTCCTAAACAGTTAAAAAACCGAATTACTAAATAGACCCCAGCTGTTACTAAAGTAGAAGAATGAACTAAAGAAGAAACCGGAGTAGGAGCTGCCATTGCGGCGGGAAGCCAAGAAGAAAAAGGAATTTGAGCTCTCTTAGTTAAAGCTGCTAAAACAATTAAAAAAGAGATAATCTTTATTCTAAAATCACTCTTTATACAACTCAAATAAAAAATAAAATTTCAACTCCCATAATTCAATATTCAAGCAATAGAAAGAAGAATAGCTACATCCCCCACACGATTAGTAATGGCTGTTAATATACCCGCCGCCGAAGATTTTACATTTTGGTAATAAATTACCAAACAATAAGAAACCAGCCCCAGTCCATCCCATCCTAATAAAATTCTAATTAAATTTGGACTAATAATTAAAAGCATTATAGACAAGACAAATAAACAAACTAAATTAATAAACCGCCCTAAGTTTATGTCTCCTGATATATACTCATAACTATAATAAATAACTATAGAAGAAATAAACAAAACAAACCTTATAAAAAGTAAAGATATTCAATCAAATAAAAAAGTCATAACAATAGACCTAGAATTTAAAGTTACTAGATCAAACTCAATAAAATAAACTAAATCACAAACTAAAAATTTTAACCCTAACAAAAAGCAGGAAAGACTTAAAAATATAAAAAATAAAAAATAAATCAGACAAATATTAAGTACAATTACTTGAGACTAGAACAGCATCTTTGACACCACAAATCAAAATTTTTATTAAACTACTCAAGTAAATAAACAATCTAATAAGTTCTCCCTTTAAAATTAAAAAATTTAGAGGTAATCAATGAAGAAACAATAATAAAAACTCACGCAACCTATTAGAGTTAAAATTATAAAGATTATTAGAAAACTTACCGTGTTGAGAACAAGAAAACAAATATAAAGAATAGCAGGCTCTAAAAAAAGATATAAAAGCCAAACCCAACATATTTAAAAATCTCCAATTAACTAAGCTATTAATAAGTATAATCTCGCCTAATAAATTTAAGGAAGGCGGAGCTGCTATATTACAAGCACTAAACAAAAACCACCAAAGAGCCATCCTGGGTATTAAATTAATTATTCCCTTATTTAAAAAAAGCCTACGTCTACCAACCCGCTCATAAGTAATATTAGCTAAACAAAAAAGAGCAGAAGAACTAAGCCCATGGGCTACCATTATTACTAAGGCCCCACAAAACCCCCAATAAGTAAAAGTAATAATCCCCCCTAAAACAAGTCCCATATGAGCCACAGAAGAATAAGCAATTAAAGACTTAACATCAGTTTGACGTAAACATAAAAAAGAAATAAAAACCCCTCCTAAAACTCTAATTCCAATAAAAATGTAGTTTATACACCTCAATACCCCTACAAATAACTTTATTATTCGGAGCATACCATATCCCCCTAACTTTAGCATAATCCCAGCTAAAATCATAGACCCAGAAACAGGAGCTTCAACATGGGCTTTAGGAAGTCACAAATGAATAAAATATATTGGTAATTTAATTAAAAAAACTAAATTTACACAAAAAAATAGAATCAACCTATCAATAGGATAATCAAAAAAAGACAAAAACAACCTATCAAAAATATCTACTAAATAAAAAATAGCAATTAATATTGGTAAAGAAGCAAAAAGAGTATAAAATAACAAATAAGCACCTGCTTGAATACGCTCCGGTTGGTACCCCCAACCTAAAATTAAAATCAAAGTAGGAATTAAACTAATCTCAAAAAAAAGATAAAAAACAAAAAAATTTAAAGAAGAAAAAGCAAAGAATAAGGCAATTAATAAAGATAAAACCACTAAACAAAAAAACTCACAATAAAACCTTTCCTTTTTAATTTTTACACTAGCCAAAACTATTAAGGAACAAATTCATATTCTAAGAAGAACTAAAACATAAGACAGCAAATCCCAACCAAATATGCCATAAACATTCAAAAATGTTCAATCAACACTTATATTCAAAATAAAAAAAAATGATAAAGCAAAAAACATAAACTGATTAATCCAATAAAAATTCTTCAATAAAGATAAAGGGATCATTATTAATATTATAAGTAAAAATTTTATCATAAAATATTAAACCTTTGAAAATAATCATTACCATGAGTTCGAACTAAAGAAACCAAAATAGATAGTCCCAAGGCACCCTCACAGACTCTAAAAGTTAAAAAAATTATTAAGAAAAAAAACTCATAATTAAAAAACATCAAAGAAAACCTTAACATAAAATAAAGTGACAAAACAATAAACTCCAGCCTTAATAAAGTTAAAAGTAAATGCTTACGTTTAGAGCAAAAAACCAACAGCCTTAAAAGACAAGTAAAAACAGAAAAATTAAGAATTAACATTAAGCCTTAATAATTTAAATAAAAATATTGACCTTGTAAGTCAAAAATAAGGATAACTTTTAAGGCTCAGGAAAAAGATTACTCTTATCATTAATCTCCAAAATTAATATTTTTATTAAACTATTTCCTGAATTACTTTACTATTAACAATATCAATTATTGTTTCAATAATATTTTTCTTCACAAAACACCCTCTTTCAATAGGATTTAACTTATTGATACAAACTATCATTGTTTCAGTAATAACAGGAATAATAAACTATAACTTTTGATATTCTTTTATCTTGTTTTTAATTATAGTGGGGGGAATATTAATCCTATTTATTTATATAACCAGAGTAGCTTCAAATGAAAAATTTAATTTATCAATAAAAATAATTTCTATAATTATAATTATAGTAATTATAATAATAATTGCATACCAATTAATTGAGCCATCAATTATAACAATTGAGACAACCACTCAATTAACACAACACATAAAAACAGAAAACCAGTGAATAATATCACTAACCAAATTTTTAACTTACCCCCAAAACCTAAAATTAGTAATACTAATATCATACTTATTCTTAACTTTAATTGCCGTTGTAAAAATCACAATAATTAAATATGGCCCCCTACGAACCCAATAACTAATGAATAAACCATTACGAAAAACCCACCCTTTAATCAAAATTATTAACAACTCACTAATTGACCTGCCAACTCCTTCCAACATTTCAGCTTGATGAAACTTTGGCTCAATTCTTGGTATATGCTTATCAATTCAAATTATTACTGGATTATTTCTAGCTATACACTACACTGCAAATATTGATTTAGCTTTTTCAAGTATTATCCATATTTGTCGTGACGTAAATTATGGATGATTACTACGAACGCTACATGCAAATGGAGCGTCTATATTCTTCATCGCTCTGTATTGCCACGCAGGACGTGGAATATATTACGGATCCTATACTCTTCATATAACTTGATCAGTAGGTGTAGTAATTATATTTATACTAATAGCAACTGCCTTCCTAGGCTACGTTCTCCCTTGAGGACAAATATCATTCTGAGGAGCAACAGTTATTACTAACCTATTGTCGGCAATTCCTTATTTAGGAACTAGAATTGTACAATGACTTTGAGGAGGATTCGCTGTTGACAATGCAACACTAACTCGATTCTTTACTCTACATTTCATTCTACCCTTCGTAGTATTAGCTTTAGTAATTATTCACCTCCTATTTCTTCACCAAACAGGATCTAATAATCCTTTAGGATTAAACAGAAACGTAGATAAACTACCATTCCACCCTTATTATTCTCTCAAAGATTTAGTAGGATTTATCCTAACAGTCATAGCTCTCACAATAATTACCTTGTCCGCACCATACTTATTAGGAGACCCAGAAAATTTCACTCCAGCTAACCCCTTAGTAACCCCAGTACATATTCAACCAGAATGATATTTTCTATTTGCATACGCAATCCTTCGATCAATCCCTAATAAACTAGGGGGAGTGCTAGCTCTAGTTTTATCAATCGCAATTCTATTAATCTTACCATTCACTAATAAAATAAAAATAATATCAAATCAATTTTATCCACCTAATAAGATCTTATTTTGAGCATTTCTTGCTAACACTATCCTATTAACTTGAATCGGAGCTCGACCCGTCGAAGACCCCTACATTATCACCGGACAGATTTTAACAATCACATATTTTATATACTTCCTTATTAACCCTTTAGTAGCTAAAATATGAGAAACCTTAATTTACACTAAAAATAATTAGTTAATGAACTTGAAAAAGTATATATTTTGAAAATATAATAAAGAAGTAAAATCTTCTATTAACTTATACTAAATTTTATTAGTAATTAATTTAAATAAGAAAATAAAATTAATTTTACTCCTAAATAAAAAATAAAAAAATTTAAAGATACAGGAAGAAACCTTTTCCATGCCAAAAATATTAATTTATCATAACGATAACGAGGCAGAGTCCCACGAACTCAAATAAAACAAAAAGAAATAAAAACCAATTTAATAAAAAATAATAAACTAAAAAAATCACCACCTATAAAAAATAAAGAAAATAATATACTTATAAATAAAATATTAGCATACTCTGCAAGAAAAATTAGAGCAAATCCTCCAGCTCTATACTCAACATTAAACCCAGAAACTAGCTCTGATTCCCCCTCAGCAAAATCGAAAGGAGTACGATTGGTCTCAGCCAATCTAGTAACAAACCAAACCAGAGCTAATGGTAAAAATACAAACAAATTCCAAATATAATATTGAAATATAAAAAATCCTAGTAAATTAAACCTCCCAACCAAAATTAAAAAAGACATTAAAACCAAAGCCAATCTCACTTCATAAGAAATTGTTTGAGCAACACTACGTAATCTACCTAGTAAAGAATAAATAGAATTAGAAGACCAACCCGATAATATAATTGTATAAACCCCTAATCTAGAACAACACAAAAAAAATAAAACACCAAAATTAAAATTTAAAAAACCAGCCCAGAATGGCATACAAAGCCAAATAAGAAGAGCTAAAAACAAATTCAAAACAGGAGATAAATAATAAATAAAAAAATTAGATATTAAAGGAAATACCTGCTCTTTTCTAAATAATTTTAGTCCATCACCCAAAGGTTGAAGAATCCCTAAAAATCTAACCTTATTAGGGCCTTTACGAATCTGAATATAACCTAAAACCTTTCGTTCCAAAAGAGTTAAAAACCCAACGCCCAACAGAATACAAATAAATATAATTAATATTCTAATTAAAAACATTAAATAATCAAAAAAAACCAAGTGTTATATGTAAATAAAATTTTACTTAAAAAGATTCTAAATCTATTGCACTAATCTGCCAAAATAACAATATAAATCAAAAACAAATTAATTTAAACAATATTTGGTCCTTTCGTACTAAAATATATTAAAATGTTAAAGATAGAAACCAACCTGGCTCACGCCGGTTTAAACTCAGATCATGTAAAGTTTTAATAGTCGAACAGACTAAAATATTCAGCTTCTACACCAATTTTTAACTTTAATCCAACATCGAGGTCGCAATCTCTTCTTTCGATATGAACTCTTAAAAAGAATTACGCTGTTATCCCTAAGGTAATTTATTCTTATAACTAATCATTTAAGTCAATAATCTATAAATTAATATACTAAAAAGAAAAAGTTTATTAAATTTTTCCGTCACCCCAACTAAATACTTATAAACTCTGAAAATTTAATCCCATAATTAATTCAAAGATGTAAAATATTAAACTCTATAGGGTCTTCTCGTCTTACAATTAAATTTAAGCTTTCTAACTCAAAAATAAAATTCAAATATTAAAATAGAGACAGATAGTATCTTGTCCAATCCTTCATACCAGCTTACAATTAAAAAGCTAATGATTATGCTACCTTCGCACGATCAAAATATCGCGGCCATTAAATATCAATCATTGGGCAGACCAGACCTTAAATTATAATCAAAAGGACATGTTTTTAATAAACAGGCAGAAACTATATTTGCCGAGTTCCTTTATTTTAACTACAACCTCTATAATTAAATATAAATAAAAATTTACTAATTCAATCATTATTACTTTCCTTAAAAATTTTAAGAAATATTTTTATAGAAAAATTAAAAAAATAAAAATAATAATAAATTTATGATAAATTATAACAAACTTTATGATAAAAATTTCTAATCCTACAAACCATAAAAATTACAAATTTTATAATAATATAAATTGAAGCTAATCCCTCAATATATAACTTATTTTTGCCTGGAAAATTTAAATAATAATACAGAAAAAAAATAATAAAATTAAACTTTTTTCTAAAAAAACCAGATATATTAAGAGACGACTAACATTTCATTTCAAAGAATCTATTCAAAATAATTATTCAACATTAAAATAAATAAATTCTTAACTCCACTTAATTCGGGACAAGTAAATTTTTACTTAAAAATTAATTAACCCTGATACACAAGGTACGAAAAACTAATTCTTCTTTATAAATCAATTATTTTCAAATATTTCAAAATTCCTTCACAGTACTTATACTTTATAATAATAAAAATTTATTCAAAATACTAAAAAAATTAATATTTTATATAAAACCAAAAATAATTATTTATGATCAAATTATATCGAATTGCACGACAACTTTTTAATGTAAGTAAAAAACTTTCTACCAAGCTCTAATTTGATCTTTCTAGATACACTTTCCAGTACACCTACTTTGTTACGACTTATTCCATATTATGGAAGCGACGGGCGATATGTGCATATTTTAGAGCTAAATCATCTTTAAAAAATAATTAAAAATTACTTTCAAATCCACTTTATAAAATCTTTAAAAAATCCTAACCATATAAATAAGTTTATTGTAATCCATCTCTCCTTATTTAAGCTGCATCTTGATCTGACTTCCTTCTTTATTTAGATTCATGACCATTAACAATTCTTATAAAATAATCAACCACGACGATATACAAACCAAAAACAAGTAGGTATAATCGTGGATTATCAATTACAGGACAGATTCCTCTGAGAAGACTAAAATACCGCCAAATTCTTTTGTTTTCAAGAAAATAACTATTACTAACCTGGTGGTAAACTTTACATTTAAAATAATAGGGTATCTAATCCTAGTTTAAAAAAAAATCTAACAGCTTCATTAAAAAAAAATTAAAATCAAAATTAAAATTTCACTTAATAATTTCAAATTTAATTTTACAAGAACAATTAACTGCAAACCAAAAACTTTCACAAACTCTATTTGTCTAACCGCGACTGCTGGCACAAATTAAGTCAGAGTAATAATCTATTCCTAAGTCTTAGGTGACTAAAAACTTAAAATTAAATACTGCAAATTAAAACTTATTTAAATAAAACCGCTAAAACTTACATAAAAATAAAAGATTAAGCAAAAAATAAGCCAAAATAAAACTTTCGTAAAAAACAAATAAATCAAGTTATAAAAAACAAGTACTTTTACATACCAATATTAAACACGCCCCCTACTTGTTCCTCCCGCAAAAACCCTTGGCCAAATAACTATAATAACACTCAAATAAAACGATTAGTATTTTACAATCAACTTAAATAAACCAATTACCTAAGCTACTTAATCTTGACCTAAACCTTTCTTATAGACCCCTAATCTATAACCTTTATTATTAACAATTAAACTAATCATTAATAGGGGAAAGCTCAGCTGATTAAGCCTCTCCACATCACTCGCAGCTCCTGACCTCCGCAAGCTCAGCTGATTAATCCTCTCCACATCACTCGCAGCTCCTGACCTCCGCAAGCTCAGCTGATTAATCCTCTCCACATCACTCGCAGCTCCTGACCTCCGCACATCAACCTCGTTCTGAGTTAAAACTTTCCCTTAAAAATTTAAATATTAGATTGTCAAATAAATTTCTTTATAAATATATCAAGTTAAAAATTAATAGTAAAATAGATTTAAAAATCAAAATATAACAAACTTTACCTTGTTTAATAAAAAAGTCACACTATAATAAAAGATTTAAAATTTATATAAATCTTAAATCTTTCTTTTTTTTTTTTTTCTTAGTAAAAATTTAATATTTATAATATTATATATATATTAATCTATCCTAAATTATATACTTATTAGAAAAATAAATTAGTTAATATACTAATAAATTAATAATATTATATTTATATATATATATTATATATTAAATATTAGTATATAAATATATGTATATACTAATAAAAAATTTCTTCGATTCAATTCTTATATATTATATACGATAATTATATATTATTAGGTAGGATTACCAAATAAATATTAATTACATACTAATATATATATATATATATAATTAAACGATTATTGTAGCATAAATAATATATACTAATATTATTATTAATAATGTAAACATTTATATAAAGACCTGTTTTTTCGGTCTTTCACTCCGCCAATTTTTACGCTTTAAAATTTCCAATAGTTAATTCCAAATAGGTTCAAATTTTAAAAACCAAAATGCATCAAAAAACACTACTAAAATTTATTAGTTTAATAACATGAATATATATTATTCACATCGTTTTAAAACAAAAACAATAATTTAAATCTTGAAAAGCATAAATTTAAAAAAAGTTTTAATGAAGTGCCTGAATAAAGGGTTATCTTGATAGGATAAATTATGTAAAACTTTACCTTCATTATATTTATATTTAACAGAATTAAACTGTTCCTTAAAGCATCAAAAGCTTTCGTACATCCTATACTAAAACATAAAAAGGTAAGCTAATCAAGCTAATGGGTTCATACCCCTTCTATGAAGGTTTAATCCTTCCCTTTTTAATATCATACTTATATAAAAATCTATTTATTATCACTTTAATAACAGGTACTTTAATCTCAATTTCCTCCGAATCCTGACTTGGAGTTTGAATTGGATTAGAAATAAATCTTTTATCTATTATTCCCCTGATAAATAACAGAAAAGATTTAAAATCAACAGAAGCCTCTTTAAAATACTTCATTGTTCAAGCAATAGCTTCAATAATTCTCCTGATAGGATTCCTAATTAATACAATTAAAATTAACCTCCCTAATAATTTACTTTTAGAAAATCTTCCCTCAAGAATTATCACAACATCTTTAATAATTAAAACAGGAGCGGCCCCTTTCCATTTTTGATTTCCTGAAGTCATAGAAGGATTAAATTGAATAAATGCTTTAATTATACTAACCTGGCAAAAAATTGCTCCAATAACAATTATCATATACACACACTCAAATGAAATTTTGATCACAACAGTAATTATATTCTCAGTAATCACTGGAGGATTAATAGGAATTAATCAAACAAGATTACGAAAAATCATAAGATATTCATCAATTAACCACATCGGCTGAATGATAGCAGCCCTCCTCTTTACAGAAACACTTTGAAAATGATATTTCCTAATTTACTCTGCTATAAACATAGCAATTATCTGAATATTAAGAAAATTTAACATTTCAAGAATTCCACAACTTATAGCTATAAGAAAGAACAACCCCAAAATAAAAACATTCTTCATATTCAACTTCTTTTCATTAGGGGGACTCCCTCCTTTTATTGGGTTTCTTCCAAAATGATTAACCATTCAAGTTATAGTACTTAACGAAATATACCTTACAGGAGCAATAATAATTATTATCACGTTAATCACCTTGTATTTTTACATACGAATTACCATACCATTAATTACCTTATCTTCGTCAAGAAGGAGATTAAACCTCAGAAACCAACAATTTAAAAGTAAAAACATAATAAGATTAAATTCAATCCTGCTAACAGGCCTACTATTCTCAACAATAGCATTCAATTGAATTTAAAGGATTTAAGTTAAATTAAACTAACAGCCTTCAAAGCTGTAAATAAAAAGCCCCCCCCCTTTTTAAACCTTAGGGTTTATTAATATAAATTTATAAGGGTGGCTAAATTAAATCTCAGTAGACTTAAAATTAGTACTTAGTATAAGTCTTAGAAATAAATTCCACCTTTAAACTTGCAATTTAAAATCATTATTGAATATAAGACCTAAGACCTACATGTTAAGAGAGAAAAATTTCTCATAAATAAATTTACAGTTTAACGCCTAAATTCAGCCACCTCAACATTTTATGAATAAATGATTATTTTCCACAAATCATAAGGATATTGGCACACTCTACTTTATTTTTGGGGCCTGATCAGGAATAGTAGGAACAGCCCTTAGACTACTAATTCGAGCAGAATTAGGAAATCCAGGAGCATTAATTGGCAATGACCAAATCTATAATGTTATTGTTACTGCTCATGCTTTTATTATAATTTTCTTCATGGTTATACCTATTATAATAGGGGGATTTGGAAACTGATTGGTTCCTTTAATGTTAGGGGCACCTGATATAGCTTTCCCCCGAATAAATAATATAAGATTCTGGCTACTCCCTCCCTCTTTAACATTACTTTTAATAAGAAGAATAGTCGAAAGAGGAGCAGGGACTGGTTGGACAGTATATCCACCATTAGCGGCTAATATTGCCCATAGAGGGGGCTCTGTTGACTTAGCAATTTTTAGACTTCATTTAGCTGGAATCTCCTCAATTCTAGGGGCAATTAATTTTATTACAACAGTAATTAATATGCGAGCAATAGGAATAACCTTAGACCAAACACCTCTACTAGTCTGATCTATTGCTATTACAGCCCTTCTTCTTCTTTTATCCTTACCTGTTCTTGCGGGAGCAATTACCATACTTTTAACAGATCGAAACTTAAATACATCATTCTTTGACCCGGCTGGAGGAGGAGACCCTATTCTTTATCAACATCTCTTTTGATTTTTTGGTCACCCCGAAGTGTATATTTTAATTCTCCCTGGATTTGGTATAATTTCTCATATTATTAGCCAAGAAAGAGGGAAAAAGGAAACCTTTGGATCTTTGGGTATAATCTATGCAATACTAGCAATTGGTTTATTAGGATTTATTGTATGGGCCCATCATATGTTTACAGTAGGTATAGATGTAGACACCCGGGCCTACTTTACTTCGGCCACTATAATTATTGCTGTACCTACAGGTATTAAAATTTTTAGTTGATTAGCCACTCTCCATGGAACTCAAGTAAATTTTTCACCGTCAATATTATGGGCCCTAGGGTTCATTTTCTTATTTACTATGGGAGGTTTAACCGGGGTAGTATTAGCAAACTCTTCTATTGATATTATTCTCCATGACACATATTATGTAGTAGCCCATTTCCATTATGTCTTATCAATAGGAGCCGTATTCGCAATTATAGGAGGATTTATCCAATGATACCCACTGTTCACTGGACTAACACTTAACGATAAATTATTAAAAATTCAATTTGCTATTATATTCCTGGGAGTAAATATAACATTTTTCCCGCAACACTTCTTAGGCTTGAGAGGAATACCACGACGATATTCCGACTACCCAGATGCCTACCTTAGATGAAATATTATTTCCTCAATTGGCTCATTAATTTCATTTATTGGAACAATATTTTTAATTTTTATTATTTGAGAGAGAATAATCTCAATACGTAAATCTTTATCTCCACTAAATTTACCAACATCAGTTGAATGGTTACAATCTACCCCTCCCGCCGAGCATAGATATTCTGAATTACTAATTATTTATAATTTCTAATATGGCAGAATAGTGCCATGGACTTAAACCCCATATATAAAGTTTTAGAACTTTTTTTAGAAATTGCAACTTGAGCATCTACTTTAACATTAGACAGATCCTCCCCTCTTATAGAGCAATTAATCTTTTTTCATGATCACGCTTTATCCATTCTTTTAATTATTACTACATTAGTGGGATACTTAATACTAGAGCTATTATTCAACAAACAGGTAAATCGATTCCTCTTAGAAGGACAAACAATTGAAGTTATTTGAACAATATTACCTGCTCTAACTTTAATTTTTATTGCACTACCCTCCTTACAATTGCTTTACCTAATTGATGAAATTAAAAATCCATTAATTTCAATTAAATCTATTGGTCATCAATGATATTGATCATATGAATACTCAGATTTTAAAAATCTAGAATTTGATTCTTATATAATCCCCTCCCAAGAAACCTCACAATATCATTTTCGTTTATTAGATGTAGACAACCGAACTGTAGTGCCCTTTAACTCCCAAATTCGATTATTAGTAACAGCCGCAGATGTAATCCACTCTTGAACTGTACCTTCTTTAGGAGTAAAAATTGACGCAACACCAGGACGACTAAATCAAATTAGATTTTTAACAAATCGCTCTGGTTTATTTTTTGGTCAATGTTCAGAAATTTGCGGAGCAAACCACAGATTCATACCTATTGTTCTAGAAAGAATTTCCCCACAACTATTCATTAAATGAATTTCAAAAATAATTTCATTAGATGGCTGAAAGCAAGCACTGGTCTCTTAAACCACTTTATAGTAAAATAGCACTTACTTCTAATGAAAAATTTAGTTAAATTATAACATTAGCTTGTCAAGCTGAAATTATTTATTAAAAATAATTTTTAATTCCACAAATATCACCTTTAAGATGATTAGCCTTATTCCTAGTTTTCTCAGTAACATTTGTTATTTTCAGTATTATAAACTATTATTCAATAAACTACTCAGCTTCAACCAACTCAAAAATAAAAACACAATTAAAAAAAATTAACTGAAGATGATAGCAAGATTATTCTCCTCATTTGACCCTTCAACAAATTTGGGACTTTCTTTAAACTGATTAAGATCATTTATTGGAATTATATTAATTCCATCAATATTTTGATTAATTCCCTCACGAGCCTCAGTAATTTGAAATAAGATTTTAAACACTTTACATAAAGAGTTTAAAGTATTAATAGCAAGAAATAAAATAAACGGGAGAACAATCTTATTTGTAAGACTATTTTCACTTATTTTATTTAACAATTTTTTAGGGCTATTCCCTTACATTTTTACTAGAACTAGACATTTAACCTTAACCTTGTCTTTAGCCTTGCCCTTATGATTAAGATTCATAATTTATGGGTGAGTAAATAATACTATTCATATGCTCGCACATTTAGTTCCCCAAGGAACCCCGCCAGCATTAATACCATTCATAGTATGTATTGAAACAATTAGAAATATTATTCGACCGGGAACCTTAGCTGTTCGATTAACAGCTAATATAATTGCAGGCCACTTATTACTAACATTATTAGGTAATACTGGAAATTCACTCTCTTTATACTTAATTAATGTGTTAATTATTGTACAATTAGCTCTACTAACACTTGAATCAGCAGTATCAATTATTCAAGCCTATGTATTCGCAGTATTAAGAACCTTATACTCTAGAGAAGTAAACTAATGTCATTACACAAAAATCACCCGTTCCACTTAGTAGATTATAGACCTTGGCCCCTTTACGGAGCACTAAGAGCTATAACCTTAATAACAGGATTAATTAAATGATTTCATCAGCAGCAAGCTAGATTACTCCTAGTAGGAATAACAATTACTTTAATAATTATATATCAATGGTGACGTGATATTACCCGAGAAGGTACCTTTCAAGGACTTCATACAATTGTAGTAACAATCGGACTCCGTTGAGGTATAATTCTATTTATTGTCTCAGAAGTATTCTTTTTCATTTCATTTTTCTGAGGATTCTTTCATAGAAGATTAAGACCCTCAGTAGAAATTGGGATAATCTGACCCCCCAAGGGAATTACCCCATTCAATCCTCTTCATATTCCTTTATTAAATACATTAATCTTATTAAGATCAGGAATTACTGTAACATGAGCACATCACGCTTTAATAGAAAATAATTATAGACAATCTATTCAAGGATTAATATTAACTGTAATTTTAGGGCTTTATTTTACAGCCCTCCAAGCATATGAATATATAGAATCCCCATTCACTATTGCAGACGCGGTTTATGGGTCATCATTTTTCATAGCAACTGGATTCCATGGACTTCATGTTATTATTGGAACAACCTTTTTACTAGTATGTTTATCACGACAAATAAATAATCATTTCTCACCAACCCACCACTTTGGATTTGAAGCAGCCGCATGATATTGACATTTTGTTGATGTAGTTTGGTTATTTCTATATATCTCAATTTATTGATGAGGTAGATAAATAATTATTTATATAATATAATTATTATATTTGACTTCCAATCAGAAAATCTACTAAAAGTAGTATAAATAATTCTAATAATTTTTAGTATCAGAATAGTAACAATAGCATTGAGATGGTTAATTATAACTATCACATCCTTTCTTTCAAAGAAAACATTCTCTGATCGTGAAAAAAACTCCCCATTTGAATGCGGTTTTGATCCTAAATCATCTGCACGAACACCCTTCTCCTTACACTTCTTCCTAATTGCTGTAATTTTCCTAATTTTTGACGTAGAAATTACCTTATTGCTACCCATCATAATCACTATAAAAATAATAAATTTAACCCAATTTATTAGATTAGCAATATTTTTCATTATTATTTTACTAGTTGGTTTATATCACGAGTGAAATCAAGGAGCTCTAACATGAGCTATATAATCAAATCATTAGGATAATAGTTATTAATAACATCTAATTTGCATTTAGAAAGTGCTAGAATCTAGCTTATCTTAGAATCATTGTAAATAAGAAGCAAATAATGCAGTTAGTTTCGACCTATCCTTTGATGTTAATTCATCCTTATTTTTAATTGAAACCAAAAAGAGGTACATCACTGTTAATGATGAAATTGAGTTTTAATCTCCAATTAAAGAAATAAGTTAATCAAGAAAAGATTTCTAACCTTTATCTTTAGCAGTGAAAATCTGTTATTATTTCT